AGTCTTCTCTGCCCACCCGCCCGGCGCTGCCACAGGCTCCTGGGCTTCTTCAGCCCCCAACCCCACGTTGCTGTGGGCACCTGGAATTCCTCAGCCCCCAGCTCCGCATTGCTGTGGGCTGCCGAAATTCTCTGGTCCCTGGCCCAGCACTGCTGTGGGGCTCCTCTGGCCCTGCTGCCCCCGCTGGACTGCTAGCCCTCCTGCCATTAGGCTCCAGGGCTCTCTGGTCCAAGAGCATTCATGGTCCTGCCGGACCATGGAAGTCGCCAGACCAGAGATTACCAGTTTCCAGAGCCGCAATCTATACACCCTTCTTAGTTTGGCATCTGTCATTGGCTAGTTCACGTGAAGTGCCACTTATGGCTTGGCTTTTGTGAATCTCATTCTGAGGCACTTCTCATTCTCCGGGGAGCGAGTCATTGTACCAGACTCTGGTGTGGAGAATTCTAGTGATTTTCTAGGAACAGAAAAGCAGGCACTTCTACACTCTACATACATCTACACTGCAATAAAGACCCAAATCATGGCCAGAGCTGGCCCACGTTGTGCGGCTCAGGCTGCCAGGCTTTAAAACTGCAGTGCAGATGTTGGAGCTCAGCTGAAGACCAAGGAGGGAAGGTCTCAGATCCTGGGCTCCACCCTGAGCCTGAACAGCTACACAACAATTTTATTGCCCCACAGCCAGAGTCCCACAAGCCCACGTTAGCAGACATGGAGCACAGATAGACCTTCAGAGTCAAACCTAAATTTTATTGTAAATCTAGCCCCACAAAGCAAAGATTAAGTGTTATTATAAGATCATTTTAGGGCAAGATACTGAAATTCTTACTCCCAATTTAGTAAATGGGAGTCGAAATGTAACATCCCATTTAATCAGTTAACCGATTAAATGTTACTTTTAACCAGTTAACCACTTAAATTGGAGTGGGTGGGGGACCTGGTAAGTCTATAGTGGCTTCCTCCCACCAGCAGGAGCTGCTCTGACTAGACTGGAGTTGAGCCTAACCATATTGGAGTGCCCCCAGCCCTCAGTATGGTGGGGCTGGCCCACCGGGAACACCCCTCCTGCCCGCAGTGCAGTGAAGCGGCCTGGGCCTGCCACAGGTGGGGGTTGCTCAGACTAGGTCGGGCCTGTTGCACCCCATGGCAGGCAGGGGGCTTCTTTGGCTAGGCCGAGGCCACTGTGCCACACCGTGGGCATGTGGGGAGCTGCTTCAACCAAGCCAGATTGCCGGGTAACCAGTAATCGGTACGCATCACCCAGTAAAGTTAACCATTAACATCCCTAAATGATAGTATTTTTTTCATTTAACATTAATGGAATAGCATTATCTCCACTGAACAGTACTTAAACAACTGAGTACTCATTGTGAAGTACTTTCTACAGAATCTATCCCGCATTGAGGACTGGTTTTGCATTGCTACTTCCAAGTATCTTTTTCATGTACTTACGCCATAATGCCTGAGAGGTGAAACATTTCAGCTGTTATGTATGACAGGTAACTATAGAGGAAGACAAAAAGTGGCTCAATCACTCGGATTTTGTGGGTGAAGCGGGTTGTAAATGCTGCCACAAATCCCAAAAAGATTCCAATCAACACTCCACCGATCCCCACTACAAAGAATTTAGCGATTCCAGCAAATATGTCAATGGTCTCAATTGTGTGCATCTGGCAGAAAGTCTTGAACAAATTGTACAGGACCTACGGAGAAAAGAAAGCACATTACTTTTCAGAAGCCTTCCCAATTCCTCTCCGAGTCACTGTAGTCCTGCATTCTAATGGAAAACTTTTCATTTTTGTCTTTACCTTGTGTTCACTTAAAATATGCTAACTACTTAATAATCTCTCTCTCTCAAAGTACTTCATAAAGGGGATTAAATATCAATTTACTGTACCTATTTTGCAGATTGTGGACACTGAGGTACAGAAAGGCAAACTGACTCAAAGTCACTCAGCAGGTCATTGGCAATGCCAAGAATAAAATCAAGTTCTCCTGACTGATGCAAATTCCCGTGTCCCTTCTATGCTGCCAATCACTTTCAGACTTCCTAACTTCATAATTTCCCTGCCTTAGTCACAAAATGAAGAAGAAAAAAAAAGAAAAGAACTATTTTTATCATCACTAATAAAATCAAGTAATTTCATTAGACATGTGAGGTTGCAGGACAACAGGTCTGAAAACATATCTTCTCAGCTGAACTGTGACAGAGCAAACCCTAAATGGCCACTATCCCTCTCCTTCCTGCCAAGTTTTGTTTAGAACATTGGGCAATGTGATCACCTGGGTTACATTTTAAATAGAATCAGCTTATTAACTCTGTGCAAAATCACAACCAGAAGCCATGAGTAGGCCCAATGCCAAGCTACTGGGCCTTCTAACAATTGTTCGGATGTCTTTAAACACTGCCTCAGAAGTGGAACTGAACTGAATATAAACTCCCATTTACTGCAGGTATTATGATTCTAGAACATTTCTGGATAAAAATAGAAGCTCACACAACTTCTAAAAAAGTCTAACCGGACACGTCAAAAGAGACTTCAAAAAGTGAAGTTGTAAGCATGGTCAGCTCCTCTGCTGAATGAGACACATATCACATCCCGTATCACAGGGTCAAGATCTCTATGTCTTTAGAAGCAGGGAGGCAAACATGAAGACTGCATCAACTATCTGCAGCTGAGGTATAACACCACCTCTGCAGTGTAGGTACAGAGTGGTGGGTGGGAGTCACTGTCATTTTGATCATGGCACACAGATTTCAAGCCTCAAAAACAGTGGGTGTTTTAGCACAGCATGCTCAATTGTGTTTAGGTTAGATGCTGTTCGAGCTGAAAACTGATATTTCAATGTTGTTTTTGTTGAAAACAATTACATAGTGAGAAGGCTCCATATAAATATGAAGAAAAGACATTCCCCAAATATTCGTGCAAACAGAAACACCTTTGCATGAATGATTGTTAAGTATAAATAAAGACAAGCATAGACATGTCTGAACCAAACAGCCATTTGGAATTGGAATTAATATTTGCCTGCCTTGTTTTTGCAGTATTGTATTTGATCAAACCTAATACACAGCACCATCACAGGCATAATAGAGAGTTTCAGGTATAAGCTAACAAAAAAGTTAAGATTTAAGACAAGCTTTAAAGAGAGGGTATGATTCAGTCACTTGAAGGAGGTAGATTAAGAAGTAAGTATAAGTGAAAAAATAATGTCTCAACTATAAGTATCATAGGAAGGAGAAGAAAATGGCTGATGAATGGGGTGAGGGATATGAGATCAGTGAGATAGACTGAGAAAATCTTTTAAAAGTTTTAAAATAAGAAAGACAATTTTTCATTTACCTGGGATATGAATAGGAAGCCAGTGACGGAGAAAAAAAGAGAGATGTTTCCGCTTAACATGTGAAAAGCCAGATTTACATTGACCATAAAACAGGACATTACAGGGATGATGACAGGAGATTATTTATGCCTGGATAAGGATTTCAGTGGAGATAAGGCCAGGTAAGGATAAATGTCAGTAATCTTTTAGACACAGTGACAACAGATTTATACATGGAGAAGTGTATGGCTCTACAGGGACGGAAAGGCTATTGGGCTCTTCAGACTTTCATCTCCAGGTCAACATAAAGAAATCAAGTTTGGTTAGTTAATGATTAGTCATCTAATGGCTGTTTGGTGTCCTGTGAGAAATAAGTTGGTGCCCACATCAAATTAGCACTAATTGGAAACTGTCCTTGCAGTCTCCCAGTGATTTGCACTCTTTCGGTAAATATCCACGGGAATCCATGCTGATCACCTTTCTTTTCTACCTTTTCCTCACAGACATTTCTCCATCCCTGGAAAATCACTGAATTTTTATTAAAAATCTGATAGAATTCAATAATAAATACCTGAAGAGTTCAGATATTAAAATCTATGAAATATTTATAATCCTTCCTTTAACATTAGCATGCGTTCTAGAGTAAATAAAGACTTGCATAAACTGGCTTTCGCTCTTAGCAGATAGTGACAAGAAAGTTGTATAGGATGATGGTGCTATGCAGTCAAGTAGTAGCAACAATAATTTATATATATGTTACAGTGCATCTGTCTGCGAGTCCATTTGTCCAAGAACTCCTCCTACATGGTAAGAGCTAGGATCACCAAATTTGGTAGGCAGCTTCCTCTTCTCCTAACTTAAGGCAAGTCAGAGTTTGGCTGTGCCAGGACAATCAGAACCCCTGAGGAAAGGACTGTTTTCCATAACGTGCAAAGGGAGGGGCTGCTGTTTGGAGGGATATGATAGTGAGATTAGCCACTTGGGACAGCGAACCCACAGGGGAAAACTATCCTGTAGAGTTGCCACTGGGGGCAGTTGCACCACCAAGGAAGTAGCCAGCAGGGCTGTGGCTCTGCCATCTTGCCTGCCAGCATACTGGTAAGTAGACCCCCGTCCCAAAACCTTTTCCCTCATCCTGGCCTTTGGCCACAGTGCCAGAGGCACAGGGAGAAAAAAGGCTTCTGGCTGCCAGGGGAGGGGCCGGGGGAGAGAAAACATCCCTGGCGGCCAGAGGGAGGATTGGATGAGAGAAAATTCCCCTGGCAGCCAGGATGGGTATTGGGGGGAGAGAAAAGGCCCATGTCAGATGGGACCTCCTGAGACCCTCTTCACCCCCCGCTCACTCTCACACCCCTTTCACCCCCAACCTCCTGCACTCCCCCCACTAGGGTTGCCAGGTATCCAATTTTTGCCTGGACTGTCCGTTCTTCGGTCCCCAGTCCAGTAAAAAAAAAAAAACACACAGAAACAGTTGCTCAACAACTTTGGTCTCCCCCCTCCTTTTTTTGTTTTTTTGTTTTTGCTCAACAGAATTTTTTCCAGGTGTGTGGTTTTTTTTTGTTTGTTTTTTGTTTTGTTTTTTTTAGGGACAGGGTGTGTTCAGTATTTTTCGTTAAACCATCTGGCAACCCTACCCCACACACATCTCCAAGACCTTTTCCTGACTACTACACCCCCCACACCACCAGACCCCTACCCTGAACAACCTGGACAATGCTGGGTAAGTCTGCTAGTGATTTATATAGTAACTTACCACAGTTATAGCATCATTCAACAGAGACTCTCCGAACACTAGGATGTAGAGCTGTTCATTGACATGAATATTTTCAAAAACAGCCAGCACGGCCACAGGATCCACCGCTGAAATTAAGCTGCCAAAGAGCAGACTCTGCAGCAAAGTGATATCAGTCAAGCCAAATATTTCAATCTGGCAAATTCCAAACAGGGAAAGTCCAATGCCGACAGAATTCCAGAGTGTGCCCACTACTGCATACCAGAATATAGTACCAAAGTTCTCAAAGAAAAGACGAGTGGGCATGAAATATCCAGCATCGAGTACAATTGGTGGAAGAAGATACAAGAAAAAAACATCGCTCTTCATTACAGGTGGGGACTTTTCCTCAGCTCCAAAAATAATTCCACCCAGTAGTAATCCAACCAGAATAAGGAGGCAACTCTCAGGCACAACTGAGGGCAACTTGTAATAGAGATGAAAGCCTTCAAGGGGAGTTCAAACCACAAGAAAATAAAATAATTACTTTTCCAAAATCTAAAAGCAAATCATGATATTTGTTCTTTATACTAACTGTATTTTTACTTCAAAGACAAGTTCAGAGAAACAGAAGACAAACACATAATCTCATTGTGCAACAAGAGATGGAGAAAGATTAATAGCCTTGTTTGGTAGATATTTAGATTTAATAGCCATCTCCCTACCCATGCACTCACCAGGCAAATGCAGGCCATAAAACTACAGTAACTACACATGCAAATGAATAGTAAGAGATCTAACAACATATGTGCAGAAATTTATCACGGTTGTGCAAACAGTTCTCATAGTAGGCAAAAAGACAGGATGTTTTTCATTCAATTTTTAACATCTGTGCCTTATGCCTCATTATTTCACAATTCTATTGAACATCCAGTATGCTATCTGCTGTACAAACAAATAGGCAAATTCTTGGAAAAGATTTTCAGTGGGGACCTAAATTTCCATACCTATTACAGAAGGTAATTAACATCATTAGGGCTTTAGTGATCCTGTAACACTTCAAATTAAAATGTGTTTACTCATTCTGTTTAGACAATGAAAAAGGTTTTCTCCACACAAATGGGGTTTTTTTCTGTTTCATTTTTCCATAGAAAATATCAAGAATATCAAGTCTGATCTGATCAAACTTGGCTTTGCTGGAGTATCCACTAGGGACTCAGGGATCTTTCTATAGCCTCTCTCAGTGGTACCTCAAGGGATAGATATGTTAACCCTTTAACAAATACATCCTGTGAATGTTCTTTAGGCATTGAAGTTAAATGGTTGTTAACATACATGCAATCTTTAAACATTCTGATACCAAATCCCTTCCCAGCTTTGAACTGTCTACACATTCAACTTGTACCAGTTTCACTGTACTAATACAGTTAAACCAGCACAATCCCTCTACTGTGATATAGCTCTACAGGGATAAAGAGTCTGATAGTGGGTATTGCTATTCCCATATAGGAATGGAAATAAACTGTGGGGCTACACATTGTGTCTACATTGTGTTCTCTTGTGCAAGAAGATATGCAAATGAGGCATGGCAATGACTATTGCTGTGCCTCATTTGCATACCTAATGAGCTGCCATTTTGTGCAAGGGCCTTTTGTGCAAGAAGGAGCAGTCTGCACTGCTCCTTCTTGTGCAAAAACCCCCTCTTGTGCAAGAACCGTTCTGCCCATTGCACAAAAATGCATATCAAAATAAGCCCATTGTGCAAAATGGTGACTCATTAGGTATGCAAATGACATGCAGCGATATTCATTGCCACGCCTCATTTGCGTATCTTCTTGCGCAAGAGAGCGCAATGTAGACGTAGCCTACCAGTATAAGGGCTTGTCTACATTTGTCTAGTGACTTCAATGAAGGCTGCTATCTAGGCTGACAGAAGAGGTTCTCCATCTCCGTAGATACTCCACCTTCCTGAGAGGCAGCAGCTAGGTTAACAGGAGAATTCTCCCATCAGCCTGACACTGTCTCCATGAGGGATTAGGTCAGTTTAACTGCATCACATGCCATATGGATTTTTCACAGCCCTGAGCAACATAGCAATTACCAACCTAATTTCCTAATGTACACTAAGCTTTAGGCACCTTTTTACTGACATCACTGCTTCTATATTATACATGGTACTGATTTAACCATTTCAGTAAAACTTATACCCACAAACAAAAATAATTTACTTTGGTACAAAAACTTTGTGTACACCAGGCCTCAGTTTCCAGCTTTTGATCTTTTGTATCTTATGGCATCGTATTTCACAAGGTCTCTGGCCATCATAGAGTCTTCCAGGGTAGCCAAAGGGCTTGTGTAGATGAACAATTAGGGCGTGGCAGGCTGAGGTGTACATTTATGTCGTGTCAGCATGCTGCACACTAACTGTCTGTGTGGATTTGGGTACTGTGTAGGAAGAATTCCTCAGTGCACTTAGATTTATTTGCATGTCAAACAACCCTAATTTTGCATCTAGACAGGCCCAAAAGTGTGAATTTCTCATGTAAAAAGCAAACAGAAAAAAAACTGTAAACAATAAGAGTATGTCTAGAGTACATTCCTCCGTCACCAGAGGGATGTGAATTAGACATACCGACATTGCAAACGAAGCGGGAATTTAAATCTCCCGTGCTTCATTTGAATAAAAATGGCCACCGCATTTTGCCGAGTCAGCAGTTTGTCACCAAAAAGCGCCTGTCAAGACGGGATCGGCCGACAAAGAAAGCCTTTGTCGGCTGATCCTGTAAACCTCGTTTTATGAGGCATAAGGGAGCTTTTCTATTGAAGACATTTTTAAACAAAAAGGCCACAAGCGTAATTATTTTTTCTGTTTCAGGGCACCAATATAGAAAGTTTGCCGTCCAAAATATATATCTCTCAAGTAATTTTAGATTTTTTTTAAAAAAATTAAAAATAAGAACCTGAGTGAATGTTGATAAGCTGTGAAACTCACTGGGTATGTCTAGACTACATCCCTCTGTCGCCAGAGATATGTCGTGCTCCCAGGGGCGGGGCCAAGGCCGGTGCCGGAGCTGGCAAGGGTACGCGCGGCGCCCCCGGGGCCGGGACCGGCCATGCGCCCGGGGCTGGCACCTGCCAGCCCAGATTGCTCCGCGGGCGCATGTAAAGAGCCCGGCGGGCGCCATGGCGCCCGCGGGCACCAGGTTGGGGACCACGGGTCTAGACTATATCCCTCTGTTGGCAGAAGGATGCAGATTAGGCAGGTCGACAGTTCAAATGAAGCAGGGATTTAAATATCCTGCACCTAATTGGCATAAAAATGGCCACTGCGTTTTGCCGACTCAGCACTTTGTCGGCAAAAAGCATCAGTCTAGGGGGGATCTGTCAAGAAAGAAAGCCTTTTTCGACAGATCCCTTATGCCTCCTGTCGCCAGAGGCATGTAGTTTAGACTGTTAGAATAACTGCACAGGCCAGGTCTTAAGCCACTCACATGATAGACCCACTTTGTATAAAATACATAAATATTCATTGGATCCGAGACTGCAACTTGAACCAGGTGAGTGCACTGACCACAGAGTCATTCTCACATTTTTTCTGGCCCACACTTGGAAATTTTATCCATTAAGCCCAACCCAGTATTTACTTTTAATACAAAATAAAGCTAGTAGGGAATGAAAAGCTATTTTCCAAAAAATAAAACACCCTAAAATGTTGACGTTTTCATGGCCAAGAATTCAAAGTGTACATATTTTTCTGTTTTGTTTTTTAGTGTCTCATGAATTTTTTTCAGGAATTGTCCAAAATATTTATCAGAAAAATCATCAAATGCCTTATTGAAACAAGCTCTCAATTAAAACTTATGAAAATTATTTCAATAACATTTTATTTAAAAAATGATTATTTTAGGCATGGAATTGTTCACACAAATTGAAACATTTTGGTAAAATAGTTTTAAGAAATCATTTTGAAAAAGGCCATTGTTTTCATTCTTCATTGGAGCAAAACCAAAACCTTTTGGGAAACAGCACTCTGTCAAAATGTCCATTTTTTTTATTTTGAAATCTCAGGTTTTGGATTCTGTGCTCTCTTACTCTCTCTGGGTATGTCTACACTACAATGTTAATTCGAACTAACTTAGTTCGAATTAGTAAATTCGAACAAAGCTAATTCGAACTAACGGATCCAGACTAAAAATCTAGTTCGAATTAGCGTTTTGCAAATTCGAACTAGCATGTCCACATTAAGTGGACCCTGAACCGGGCTTAAGGATGGCCGGAAGCAGTGTCAGCAGGGCATCAGAGGAGGACTTAAACCGTGGAGATGTTGTCTCAGGCTAGCCGAGGGCTGTGCTTAAAGGGTCCCGACCCCCCACCCTGGACAGACAGTTCTCAGGGGTGCCCCGCTTGCAAAGCAGTCCTGGCTTGGAGTGCCCGGAGTACCCACACTGGGCACATCACACCACTCGGCCATCAGCCCGGCTGCACTTGCCGCAGGCTGCCATCTGGGGAGAGGAGGCAACTGGGGGGCTGCAGGAGAGCTTCCACCCCCAGAAGCCCGCAGAGCCAGCCCAGTCCTCCCCATCGGGGGCTCGTGCCCCATTCCTCCCTCACCTCCTTCCACTTACCCTTCCCTAGCCCCCCTTCTTATTGATGTACAAAATAAAGATAACATGTCTTCCAAAATGGAATCTGTCTTTATTGAACAAAACGGGGGGAGACTGGGAAAAGGAGGTGGGAGAGGGGAAGAGAGAGGTGGGGAAAGGGGAGGGCAACTAAAATGATCAGGGGTTGGGAACAGGTCCCATATGAAGAGAAGCTAAAGAGACTGGGACTTTTCAGCTTAGAAAAGAGGAGACAGAGGGGGGACAGGATAGAGGTCTCTAAAAGGAGGAGTTGGGTGGAGAGGGTGCATACAGAAAAGTTCTTCATTAGTTCCCATAAAGAAGGACTAGAGGACACCAAAGGAAAGGAATGGGTAGCAGGCCTCAAACTAGTAACAGAAAGTTGTTCTTCACAAAGCAGAGTCAACCTGTGGAACTCCTTGCTGCAGGAGGCTGTGAAGGCTACAACTAGAACAGAGTTTAAAGAGAAGTGAGATAAAGTCATGGAGGTTGGGTCCATGGAGTGGTATTAGCCAGGGGGTAGGAGTGGTGTCCCTGCCCAAGGATTGTGGAAGGCTGGAGAGGGATAGCACGAGACAAATGGCTTGGTCACTGTCTCCGGTCCATCCCCTCCAGGGTCCCTAGGGTTGGCCACTGTCGG